TATCTAAGTAAATAATATAAATTATATTAATTAGCCTAGCTAGGGTGTAATTTATATAAGATTAAAATATTACTAGCGTATTTACTAGTTTAAAAGGTATAACTTAGTATTTATAAAGCCTAAAGCATGTTTTAAACACTGTTTTTTACTTATTTTCTTTATAAATTTAAAGTTTATAATATATATTACGTAAATTAAGCTACATAAAAATCTTTCCTATTTTTAAATAGTTAAAAGTCGCGTTAAGTAATAATAAAAAATATATATTTTTAATTATAATAACATTTAGGCCTTAATAATTAATATAAAAACATAGGCCGCTATTTTTTTTTAATATAAATAGCACCAAAGCTCCCGCAGGGCTCTTTAATAAATATATTTAACCCTTTTTTAAGACTTTTTTAATATATTCGCGTAGGACCTTAAGTTTTTTTAAAAATAATAAATAAATATACTTGCTTAAAGGCTTAGCACTAGGTTATAACTTAATTATATAATTATATAAGTAATAAAACACAAGAATATTTACCTTTATTTTAAAAAATATATTTATATATTCGCGGTATTATTTAGGTAACAGGATTTTTTTAACCTTTACCTTATTAAGGTGTATTATAATATAGTTTTTTTACTTAAAAATTTATACTAAAAGCACTTTAACTCCTGCAGCAATTTTTATAACATATTCTTATATTATTATTATATACTATAAGTATTTAAAATTATACTTTACTTTTTAACTATATATTTAATTACTAATACACTAATTTAAAATAAGTATTATGGCTAAAAGCCACAAGAACCCTAAAATTATATTATAATTATTAATATTAATAACTTTAAAGTTCTACTAATAATATTATATATTACGCGCAAAATCTCTAGCATAAACCATAAGTATATATTTCTTATAAAATATTACCATGTAGCTATTAATTACATGTATTTTATAAGCTAATTTTTTATTTTATATAAAATAAGACTTTGCCTAGCGCTAGTTTATAAAATTTACTTTTACTTTAAAGTTAATAAAAACTCTTATATATTATTATTTTTTATTTTTTTTTTTTTTTTTTACCTGGATTACCCAGGCCCGCGGCGCACTTTTTTATTTTATATAAACTTTTAAAGCTTGCACCGCGTAAAGCTTTAAAATTTTATATTTTTTATATTACTTAATTTACTTAGGAATTATTACTATAAAAGCACTTTTTCTTTTTAACCTCCGCCTGGTAACTAGTAATATTACTTAAAGTGCCTAGTATAATTATAATTTAAGCACTTGCCTAGGTATAGCTTTTTTATAAATAAGTAATTACTTAAATTACTAGGTTATTTTATACTAGTATTTACTTTTACACTTTTCTTAAAAGTAAATAGTACTCTAACTTTTATTATTAATAACCTAGCATGTGTTTAATTTAGGAATTCTTATTTTTTTTTTATAATAGTCTTTTTTTATCTAGGTATGTTATTCTTAACGCTAGTTAAATATAACATGTAATTTTTATAACATTTTAATTCTTAATATTTATAAATAAAAAATTTTTTTTATATATTTTTTAAAATTTTTTAGTATAGGTGCCCTCTGCGCTAATTATTTTTATATTTATAAGGTAAGTATTTCTTAATTTAATTTAGTAATTATATAAATTACCTAATAGTTTACTATAGTTATTATTTTATATTACCTTATTTAATAAGTAAATTATTAACAAGCATGGTTTTATTATTAATTATTTTAACTAGTATATTAAGAAATTCCTTTCAAGTAAACGCAGGTTTTACCTTGCAAATATTAAATTATTTATATTAGCAATCTTTTACTAAAAATTTAATAAACCAAGATATTTTACAACTATTATTAAAATAGTAGGTTAAAAAGGTTTTAAAGTGCATTTCCATGTTTAGTTTTTAATTATTAAATTTTTTAATATTATTTACTTAGTACAGTTTTATAAATAATAATTTTCTTAAAAAATTTTTCTTAAGGCGCGTAACTACCACTATAACTAGTTTTATAATAGTTTTTTTAAGGTTTGCAAGGGTATTAAAGTCTATTTAATAAAAAACTATTAGTTACTTAATAAATTAAATAAGGGTATTATATATTTATTAATTAGCTTTAGCTATTATAATTTACTAGCGTGCCTTTTTAATTTAAGCATGGATTTATTAATATTTTTCCTTCTTTTTTTTATAACATTTTTATTTTTATAATTTCTTTTTTTTTACTAAAATTACGTTTAATATCGCCTGTAGTTCCTTAGTAGTTTTTTTATTACTTTTACTTTTATGCCCCTAAGCAGGTACTTTATATTTTAATATTTTTTATATAATTTAGTTTTTATTTACAGGGGTGCCCTTAGGTTCTTTTAATTAAAAGTTTATAAATTTTTTTTTAGGCATGTTARTTAGTTATTAAGTTAGGGTTTATAATTACTTTTTTAAAGTTTTATTTACTAGCCCCTAAAATTAAGTTTACTGCTTAGCTATTATATAAAATAGGTTTTTTTTTAAAAAAAAAAGTAATTAAAACTATAAAGCGCTTTTATATACTACACTAAGCTTAAAAAAATATAAATTACTATAATAAAAAAGCGTTATATATTTATAATAAGAACTAATTACTAATTTTTTAAGTTAAAATTTTAAGTTAAACTTAGTATTTTATATATCACGTGACTAACCGCCGCCTTAGCGCGCGGTTAGATTAGCGCCAAAGTTCCTTTATCAGGCGGCCTCAGGCCGCCGGATTGCGTCATTGCAACACTGCGCAGTTGCAACACCATAGTGGTGATAACACTATATTAGTTTATATTAGTATAGTAGTTACTATAAACACATGAAAGTTTATTAAATAATTAAAAGGGGCTAAGATTATTCCTAGCAAGTAGGTATTTATACTTAAAAGTAATAAAAATAACTTTATTTTATTATTTAAGGCTTAAATTATTACGTGTGGTAATTATTAAGTTATTAAATTAAATTATAATAAAAGCTTTTATTTAGTTATAGCTAATATAATAATTAAATATATATTAATAGCTATAGCTATTTAAAGGCTTAGCTAGTGCTAATTTAATATTATTAATACTTATTTTAATATAAAAATAGTTAATTAAAAGGTTTATATATAATAGCCACGTGGCTATAAAATTAATAATAACCTTATATATAAAATATAAAAAGCCTTATTTAGCCTTTATAACTTTATATACTTATAAAATTAAAAATTTAATTAATTACTACGCGCCAAGGGCTTTAAGCCACTTATTAAAAAACCTTATATATATATTTAAAAATTACCCTACGCGCTAATTATTACCTATATAAATAATAATATTATTATAAGTAAAATAAAGGCTAATATAAATATTATTATTAGCCTTTTATAAAAGATTTATAAATTTAAAGTTAATAATAAGTTAATTAAATTTTTTAAATTAATAGTATCCCGTAATTATAAAAATAAAATAATTTATTTTTTTTAAGTTATATATATAAAATAAATAGCTTAATATTTTAGCCTTACCAAGGCTAGGCCGGTAAAAATGCTAATAATAAAAAAATATATTAAAACTATATAAAAAGTTAATTAATTAAATATTATAAATCTTAATATACCTTTAGTTTTTAATACCTTTAGTGCTTATACTTTTACTTAATTAATTAAATTTTTTAGCTAGCTTAGAAAGACCCATGTTAACCTTATATACCTAGTTTAATTTTTATAATATTAATAAAAATCCTTAATTATTAATAACATGGCAGCCGCTAAGCACGTGGTTTAATATATTATAATTAATTAAAATAATTTAGTACTTACTAAAACCTATATAAAAAAAATAATTATTTATTTTAATATATTTTATTAAAATTATTTTAATAAGAAGTTTACCAAGGGTTTTATTATATATTTTTATAAGTTTTTTATTATATAAAGTTTAAAAAAACAAGTAGTTATAGCGCCTTTATTTATTATAATAAAATTTTTAGTATTTAATAAGGTTATTAAAATAGCCTTATTTATAAAAAAGCTTACTAAGGCGCTTAAAGTATAAAATAATAAGCTAATTATAGTATACTTTAATAATACTAGTATTATTACTAATATTACTAGTTAAAAAATTTTAGTTACTACACGCTAGTTAGCTAATAAATACTTTTTTATATAAGATATTTATAAATAATACCTTGTAAAGTTTTATCACGTGCTAAAAAAAAATTTTATAAATAAAATAATTAAACTACTAAAAGTAACTAAGTTTACTGCCTTTTAAAATATCACAAGCCTTAAAAAAGCCCTTTAATTAATAAATTAAAAGTATAAAAGTTTTATTATTTTTGTTTTTAGTAATATTTCCTATTTAAAACATGTATATAGCTTTATAGTATAGCCATGTATTACTTAATTAAAAGGTGTGTTAAACGCCCGGAGGGCTAGCGCTTAAAACACGCTTATTTTAATTAAAACTAGCGCAGCACGTGATGGTTAAGGTTTTCTTATAACTTACTGCTTGCTACATATAGATAATCCAAAGGTTTACTATGAGCAACGCTATTGGCTAGTCATTACATCTGCATACTCGCTGCGCTATTAAAACCCAATTGTGAACATGCTCAACCGTATAGCCCTACAGCTTGTCCATTATGTACGCCCGAAACACACAACAAGCCGGTCGGCCTTCCATACCGGGCACACCGCTAAATAATACGCATATACTTACTTGCCCGCGGGAGTTACAGGGCCTAGACTAAGACTTAGAAGGTGCTCATACAGGTAGGACAAGCGGACTTCAACTCCGGACTCCGCCGGATTCTGCAGATGGCAAAAGCGGCATCCGGAGATCAGCCGCCGATGGGGTAGGGTATATGACCACGACCACTGCACGCCCCTGCCCAGATAATCCTGCAATATTGCCATCATCAAAACCCAGATCTTCCATTCAATCCACCAATTCAATCCTCGCCCTCACCATAACCGCACCACCACCGCCATGTCCACCCTCCACATCCCCTCTCTCCTCCAACCCATAATAGTCCTCAACGGCTGGACCTTCATCGTCGAACTGTGGATGTTCGCCGCCCGAATCCCCTCCGTCGGGCATCTAAAAGAATCCTCCGATCCCACCGTCACAAAAGCCGAGCTGACCGAGAAGACCCCGCCGTCTGTGCGCTGGAAGGGCGACAACTACAACCACCTGCTCGAGCAGCCGACCCAGTTCTATGCCGTGGCCCTGGCACTCGCTGTTGCGAGGCACGGCGAGGATAATGCTGTGGACCAGGGGCTTGCGTGGGCGTATGTTGGGACGCGCGTCGTGCATAGTCTCATCCAGTGCACGAGGAATGTTGTGCCGGTTAGGTTTTGTGTCTTTGTGCTTTCGTCGGGGATTCTTGCGGCGTTGACGGTTAGGGCTGCGGCGGTTGTGTTTTGAAGGGTTTGGACGCATGGGGTGTGGTTGTTGCGATTGGGACGATCTCGTGGAGTGGACATATCTTCATAGCGCATAGACTGATCCAGTCAAGGAGTCTTTGTCGGGGATGGATGCATGGCTTGCGGTTGACCTAGAGCTTGTTGCTTCAGGACTGCTACGGAAATTCGGGATAGCGAGTGCCTACCATGTACAATTTAATCAAACATCGCTTCGTTACACAATCATTTCCATATCCATAGATCTCGTTCACTTCCGACTCGACCCTCTCCCCTCCTCCATCTCCATCGCTGGCGTCGCAAACTTATGCACAGCAACAACACGCGTAAAGTACTTCTCCGCCCTCCCAAGCGCACAATTAACCTCACTCGGATGCGACCAATTCAGCGCAAAAACAACAATGAACATCAACAGCGCATCAAAGACATAGATAAAGACCTCCTGCTTCATCATATACGAGTCATATCCCATAAGGTACTCGACGACGCGAATCACCGAGCGAATGAGGATCAGCACGCTCGTGAAGCACAGCGCCACCATGTGTCTGCGCCAGATACTCCGCAGCGAAGATGAGACGAGGACGCGCTGCCTCGCCATTCGGATCTCGAAGATCAGCGCTGTGACCACGAAGAACGCGAAGAAGATTATCTGCACGAAGAGGCCGCCGATGATTATCTTCTCGCCTGTGTCGGCGCTTGTGTTGTCTTTGACCATTATTCCGGCGCCTGGGAGGTTAGCATTGGATAGGGCTTTGGTCAAGGTGGTTTACCCGAAGCCTGCATGAGGAAGGACAGGACGTCTCCGGCAACAAAGAGCTTTGTTAGGAAGCGCAGTGGGATAATCGAGCATCTCTCTGCATCAAGCATGGCGATGATCCGGCCTAGCGTCATGTAGATACTGGCCGCCAGGAACGCAGGGGCAATCAGGATGAGAGCGCTCTGCATCACGTACGGGCCTTTGGTAAAGTCGGGGGCTTCGACGGAGGAGAGGACGCGGCCAATGTAGCCGACGGTTTCCACTGGGTTTGTTAGGATGGTGCTATTGAATGGGCACGGGGAAGACATACAGGCAGCGCCGATCATGAACGGGATCATGAACCAGGTCCTTGTTCGGAGGAGTTGGTAGAGATGGAGGATTGTGCAGACGCCGAATAGACCCGCGAATATGCCGCCGGCTGCTGCTGAGGGGGTATAGTAGTAGAAGGTAAACTCCATGGTGAGGATGCCAGAGATCTCTGTAGGGCTGCCGTTCGGTGGAGTGGAGTGGAGTTGAGATGGAGCACGCAGAGTATGAGTTAAAAGTAAGAAGTCAGACAAGCCCGGCAAGAGACGAGCTTAAATAGAGCTTGGAGATCAAAAGAACATCCAGAACCCCGAGTCCGAACTATGAAACCCTGCAATAGGCAAATGCATTCCATCGCTCGTTCTCGTACGCATAACCCGTTCGGGGCATCGCCCGCAGCGCCACTCGAGCTTAGCTCCACTCGCTATTCTGGCTGGCCCGGCCGCACTTCGGTTTCAGATTCCACAGCGCCAGCTCGTACTTCGTATCGTTCTCCGGTTAGGGCTATGGATTGTCGATGCTGCTATTTGCGTCTGATTCTCGTCCCTGGCTGCCTGGCGCTGCAAGGGGTCCACTACATCCTACCAGAGGTGACTATGGAGACTGGCAACCATATATAAGACGGCTCGGCTGCCTTGCAATATTTTGATCTTAATCTTCCACTGCTCTGCAAGTTCAAGACCCTTGCAAGCGTTCAGCAAAATGGCCTACAAGTTCTACAACTACGACCCCTCCAAGGCCGCGGCCATCCCCTTCGCCGCGCTCTTCGCCCTCGCGACAATTATCCACATCTGGCAAACAATCCGCCACCGAACATGGTACATGACGCCGTTCATCATCGGAGGAATCTGTACGTGTCTCTCCACTACACCCCTCCCCCTTCACCTCCACCTACTAACCAATACTTGCTTGTCCAGTCGAAGCAATCGGCTACCTCTGCCGCCTTATCAGCGCATCCCAAACCCCAAACTGGACTATGTACCCCTACATCGGGCAGAGCCTGCTCATCCTCCTCGGACCCGCCCTCTTCGCCGCCTCAATCTACATGCTCCTCGGCCGCATCATCCGCACCCTGAACGCCGGCTCGATTTCGCCCATCCGTCCAACCTGGCTGACCAAGATCTTTGTCACCGGCGACGTCCTCTCTTTCCTCCTTCAAAGCGGCGGCGGAGGTATGCAGGCGAAGGCTGAAACGGCCGATGCAGCGCGCATGGGCGAGAAGATGATACTCGGCGGACTCTTCGTGCAGATTCTCTTCTTTGGGATTTTCATCGTTGTCTCGATTATCTTTCATCGGCGGATGCTTGCTACCCCTATGCATCGCCTTGGTACGGATGTGCCCTGGGCGAAGTACCTGAAGATCCTGTATGCCGTTAGCATGCTGATTATGGTGCGGTCGCTTTTTCGTGTTGCGGAGTATGTCCAGGGGAAGGAGGGGAGCTTGCAGAGTAACGAGGTGTATATCTATGTGCTTGATGCGGCGCTGATGTTGATTTGCTGTGTTGTGTTGAATGTGTGGCATCCTGCGCATGTTGTGAGTGGGAAGGTGCCGTATGCGCAGGCGCGGGCGCAGGAGCAGGATATGGAGATGCTTGGGGGTGAGAGGGGGAGGGGTTTTTAGAGAGCCTGCATTGTATTATACGTGTGTAGATTAATGTTTCGTGTTCTGATCATTGCCAACATTCTTCAAGCATCGTTTGATTACTCCTCCTGCTAGAAAGGGAGTTTGCAAGTAAAATAGCCCTAGATCAGCCGGGAATTCCCAGCCAAGGATTCATCTGGATAAGTTGAGGAATCCAAACTCTCGTGGAACGAGTGCAGAGCGTCAAGAATAAGTGATAAAGTGATGCCTTTCAAAATGTACCTTTGGCAGTCCCATCTTTGCATTAATATCCATCCCCTCAAAGTCCTATTTACCTGGACCCAATCCTTACCGTCAAACACGGCGCAGCTCGCTATACAGGCCCATAATACTCTTCCCCTTGACGGTCGCCAATCCCCTCCGTTACAACTGCGCGGTATGAAGCAAAAACAAAAACATACAACAGCTGGGATTCGCATGTGGTCACCCACCATACTACTAACCAGCCGGCGTGTGGTTTAAGTACGGCTGAGCGGACGGGAAGCCCTGTTCTCCACACCCTGTGGTCGTATGTGCTTGTTTGCTGATAAATGGGTTTGATAAGATGCGTTTTCATAAGCCATAAAAGCCGCAATTCGTGTCTGAACGCCGAGGGCTTCCTACAGAGTTCTGACTAGTTCGCCTTTGTCAATGTTAGTTTCTCTGAGCAGTGCACCTGAGAGTATACAGTCAACAGCTTCTTAAGCTTGAGTGGCGGCAACGGGAAGGGAACAACACGCAATATTATATGGCAGAAGCTCTAGTTGATTCAGGAAACAACCTAGGGAATCTGGCTAGATGATGAAAGCTCTATGATCGCACTACCTCCATTCTATTGTCCTCAGTGAAAGTCACATTGAATGTCTCCCAGTCTCCCTGTTCCACCGTGAGGTTGTCTCCCAAACCGAGAAACCTCATGAACCCTCCATGAACCACCACAACAATATCCCGTCGATCCGTATTTTCCAGCTCTCTGAAAATTTCCGCCAAATACCGCTGGACTCGTAGTCCGCGCCTCCTCAAACTCTCCATATCCGGCGCGTACAGGCCGTCCTTCTTTGGGAAAAGGGGATCCAGCCCAAAGGTGTCCCAAGGGAGTTGGGGGAATTCCGCCCGTAAAACCAGCTCAGTCGAGCCAGTATCGCAGTTACGATCTGAATGGGCCTGAAGGTCTGCTTCTAGATGGAACTTTGCTCCACCCCGTACACCTCCTGTCCCAGCAGCGTAGTAGCTCGTGTCAAGGGTGTCTTGAAAGCCAAGGAGAGCTGTTTGGATAGTTCGACGGAGTGGAGATGCGACTACCAAGCCGACTTCAGATTTGAAACGGAAACTGCGGTTCAGGTTCGTGCATTGGTGGATGCCTTTGGCTGTTAAGGGGGGGTCAAGGATGGTTGTGTCATGGTTGGGGTTGTGAGCCGCTTCGGCGTGACGGACGACGTGTAATCGGAAGGCCATGCTTTTATTTCGCTTCCTTTCAAGAGGGCTTTCGCGTCCTTGTAGTTGTTTGTGTCATTTTATATAGAAGCCATTATTAAGGTACCCAGGTATGCCCGCCCGAGGAAGTACCAAAAGCAGTCATGATACCCGACAGCTCGGGCGGCCAGCTCGGAGTTAGGGCTTGGCTAAGCTTTTTATGGTAGACCCCTCCGCGGATCGATTGATGATCCCTGTAGGTTGTTAACAACTCCGAGCGCAGTATGCTAAACTCCGAGTCTGCTATTCTGGGTGCTGCTGCATGGCAATGTCGGCGCAGTACTCTTGACATCAGCCCCCTATACCTGCGTCTCTTATGGGTGATCTTTAGACCTTCCAGAACCACCACTGCGATAGTCCTGCGCTAGTCTATAGCACTAGTGTAAAGGTATGCATGTATGGCGCCTGATTACCCATAGTAATATGATCCTTCTTGTATGCACCCTAGGATTCGCAGCGATCATCAAGATGATCTGTTACGAACTGACTACCTGAAACCTTGCATCCAATGTTAGACACTCAAAGAAACTTTGCCAGGAGAAAGAGATAACAGTAGTGACAACATTCGCTCCACACGCCGCGCGGTCAATCCAGGTACAGAGCACATGGGCAACAGTTATCTCCGAGCTTTAACCGTATATAAGACTGCTGCCTCTCATGTTAGAACCCAAGCAATCAAGCACTTCTTGAGCTCTCTAACCATGAAGCTCTTATTCTTTCTCGCCAGCGGTTCAGCCCTGGTGGCCGCCACAAGCTTCCCCGTCATCGAAACCAACTACGGTCCAGTCAAGGGTGCAGCCTCGCCATACCGCGACGGCGTCACCGTCTACAAAGGCATTCCTTTTGCAGCAGCCCCAACTGGCTCTAAGCGCTGGACTGCCCCTACAGCCCCAGACTCATGGACAGACGTCCTCCATGCAACCAAGTTCGGTCCTCAATGCGCCCAGCCATACTCGGAGGCCGGCATCTTCTCCTCTGGCAAGAACTCTACGAGTGAGGACTGCCTATATCTGAACATCTGGACCCCAACCTACAACACCACCGACACCAATGCCATCCAATCTATGAATCTCCCCATCTACTTTTGGATCTTCGGCGGCCGTTTCGAAGGCGGCTCAGGCGATGTGAAGACCTACGACGGAACAGGCCTCGCCTCCAAGGATATCATTGTCGTCACCATCAACTACCGCCTCGGCGCATTTGGCTTCCTCGCTCACCCCGAGCTTTCCCAGGAATCCGGCCACAACAGCTCCGGCAACTACGGCATCCTCGACCAGCAGTTTGCCCTCCGCTGGGTCCAGGACAACATAGCCGCCTTTGGTGGGAATGCCAGCCAGGTCACCGTCGGCGGCCAGTCTGCCGGCTCCGCCAGTGCCCTCGACATGATGTGGAGTCCGCTCAGCGCCGGTCTGGTCGCCGGTGTCATATCCGAGAGCGGTGCTCGCGGCCCTCACGACCCTGCGACTGGAGGCGTCGCCACCTCCTACAACACCAAAGACGAGGCCGAGTCCTTTGGCGTCACGTTCCTCGCCACCATGAACGTCTCCTCTATCGCGGAGCTCCGCCAGGCCCCGATGGCCGACCTCATCGCCCAAGGCCAACTCACGGAATCGGACTATTACACCGGCACCCCCTTCGAATCGCTCTACAGCGGACCCCCCCGCTGGCGCCCCAATATCGATGGCTACGTCTTTCCCCACGGCTACGGCAAGTCCCTGTCTCTCAAGGCCCACGCCGACGTCCCCATCCTGACCGGCAACAACAAAAACGAGAATGACCTCCAGAACGGCCCCTCCACTGTGTCCGAGTACAAGGCCTTCTGGACCGAGGTATTCCAGAATTACTCCTCCGAGTTCTTCTCCCTCTACCCCGCCACCACCGCCTCCGAAGCCAGCGATCTCAGCAACCAGCTCCTCCTCGACATCGCCCGCGTCGGGACCTGGGAATGGGCCGCGGAGTGGGCAGCCGGCGGTGCAAAGAGCAATGTCTACACCTACTTCTTCACCAAAGCGCCCGCGGAAGACGAGTCCATGGGCGTCTATCACGGCGCCGAGCTCTGGTACACCTTCAACAACATCCCATACTCCGACTACTCCGAGGTTACCTGGAACACCACGGACTATGAAATCGAGGCCACTGTCTCGGACTATTGGGCGAATTTTATTCGTGGGGGAGACCCGAATGGGGACGGGCTTGCTTACTTTCCTCCTTCGTCTGCTGCTAATATGACGACCATGTGGCTTGGGGAGTGGTGTGGTGCGGGCCCTATTGCGCACTCGCAGGCTCGGATTGCGTTTCTGCGTAGGTGGATGGCGCAGCTCCATGAGTACTAGATGCGTGACTTGCCTATTACATGATGTATAGAGGACGGTTGTATATATCGGTGAATAAGGCTTGTGTAATAGTTATTCTAGACATGGCCCTCAAGTCCAAAACTAGAGTTTTTCTCCGTCATTTTCTTGTTCTTGCATGTCGTTATGATCAATACAGTCAAAGTTACCTGGATGGTATTTACAGTCTGGACCAAAGACCAGGCTCCATTGGACTTGGTGACGTAGATTTTCTTCCATCAGACATTCCAGTCATTGTCACTATGCAGCTTGTGTCGTTCGTCTGCTTGCTTCTTATCGAGGTGATCATTAACTAATTTCTTACTCCAAACAACTTCCAAGTTGGTTGTCTGCCTAACAACCTGCAGCTGTAAGGAGGCACTACTGCACCCATAATTCTACATGGCGTAACTAAATTCCTAATCACACTGCGCAAGCAAACGCTGGCAATCACTCCAAGCCGTTGGGCACTGCTAGTTCGTGATAGTTCGAGTCATCACTGACACCTTGTAAAGCCCGCCATTGCAGGCACAAACTATAATAAGATGGCATCGTTGATCGGCTGGCCCGGGGTGGCAGGCCCTAAATTGACAGACCTGCACATTCAGACCCCAGCCACCAGCGATGCCCTGTAAACTACAACTCAAGGTAGGTCTTGACCGGTTAAGCATTGTATATCTGAATGTTAATGTCATGACCAGGCTACGAGTCGAAACCAACTCCAGAACATTCCGCTACCTGAAAAATGCCTTGTTTCCAAACATTTCGCCCCCGACATGGGAAGGCGCCTACCACAGATCAGAGCTTCCTCTGCTGTTCGACTTTAATAGTATGGTCTGGGAAATTCAACGCCTTCCAGCCTGGAGTATACAACGGTCGCAAAGTGGCAGGTTTTTTATGTAAATTTTGCACGAGACGTTGTTCGGGGACTGCCTGCGGCTAGCTGGCCTGCTGGACACCGAATGGAAGTGTTTTAATGTAAGATATAAAGGACGTAAATGGGACAACTGTTCCTACGCCCCTGCATATTAATGCGGAGGATCCCATAGCACCTTGTAAATATCTTACTTAAAGCATCTAGATGGCTTGAGCTGTAGATATGTTCAGCATGCACCAATTATGTTTATCCAGATTGAGGATACTCTGCTCGCCAGGAACAATTTCATAGATGACATCAGGGAAAGTCCGGGTTTAAGGAAGTACCTAGGGCAACCGCATGTCAAACAGGGCTACAGTATAATAGTGGACGCAGTTCTTGCAGCTGCAGAGCAGAGATAGAAGGCCGACTCCACGTCCATTCTTCCAATTGGAAGGGTTATGTACTAAGCAGGCGCCTATATTTCCAGTCTCCCTTCCAATTGATCTCCGCCTTGCGTCGATCAATGACCCACCACAATCTCGTATTCGTACGCATGCCCCATCTCGGTATTCCATACCGAGAGTCTGCAGCTGCGACCCTTGGCGCCGCAGAGTTTGCACCGTCAAGCAGCTTGCATGAAACCATGGTTGCCTAGAGAGCTTCGCCGCGGACGCCCGGCCAAAACGTCCTGGCCACCCGACTCGCGGTCTTTACGAATACGGCCATAACATGTCCACCATAGGCTAAGTCTGCGCAATGCCGCTGCGTCGCACCCATCGCAAGTCACGGCATGGCTGCAAAGCTTGCAAACAGCGGAGGGTCAAGGTTTGTCTCGTTCTGATTCAAGTGGTGTGCATTTGCTGATGATGACGTACAGTGTGATGAGAAACGCCCTACATGCTCCAATTGCACGACGCGCCAGGAAGAGTGCGAATATGTGACTGACGCCTCGTACATCTGGGCTGCGGACGAGCCTCCAGCTCCTCGCCGTACAAGGTCAAGGCGCATTGCACCTTCTATAACGACAACTACAACGACAACGACACAAGGAAGTACGCCAGAGACACCATTCCGCCTCCTCGATCGACCCTTCAGCCATGAAACCGCATCGCTCACCCCGCCACTGGATATGACCCAGCTCAGACTCCTGGTGAACTGGCAAACCGAGACATGTCAGTTCTTCTCCCGCGACGCGGAGACCAGAATCGTCTGGCAGGTCAGCCTCGTCGACGAAGCGCTCAAGACGCCGCCTCTCATGCACGGCATCCTGGCTGTCTCGGCATTGCACCTTGCGCTCTTGGACCTGCAGTGTGGTCAGGAACAGGCGTTTTGGCTTGGGCTTGCTACCGCGCATAAAGGGGAGGCGTTGCAGGCGCTGAGGGAGGGGTTGAATAGTGTTGCTGCAGATAATGCTCGATCGATGATGGGACTTTCCGCGCTGGTCGTGGCGTATGCTTTTGGGGCTGCACTGACGGGTTCGGGCGCCGATGACTCGGGCGATAGACCCTCGCTAGATAGCCTGAACAACATCTTTGTTTTGTGTCGCGGGGTGCAGCAGGTGACAAATTCAGCGTACGCCGTCCTCCGACAGAGCAACTTCGCGCCGCTGTTCAACCCGGGCGATCAGTCTGTTGCGATTCCGGACCACGTCAGGGAATCACTCGACCATCTGGAGCATTTGAACACTGAATGTCTGCAAGCTGGGGAGCACGATCACGACTCCGCTACGTATACCCGTGTCATTGAAGCGCTACGGAGCTTATCCGGCCACGCGTTCACCCAGCCCAACTCGATGACACTGGCTGCTGGGTGGGCGATCAGGGTATCTTCGGAATACCTGGGGTACCTTCAAGCGAACCATCCGTTTGCGCTGGTAGTTCATGCGCATTACTGTGCCTTTCTTCATCTCGCCCGTGGAAACTGCTTTCTGCGGTCCTGGGGCCGAGCTGTTCTGGAAGATATACTCTGCCTGCTGGACGACGAGTGGAAACCGCATATCGAGTGGCCGGTGACGGAGGTTTTCGGGGATGGTCACTTGCAGTCTTCACAGTCACCCGTGTTTTCAATCAATACATAGCAAAATAGCACTATAGGTATAAACTAAACCACAGCCGCCTCTAGCCATCATAGCCAAAGTCAAACCATCATTAATCATTGAATAAGGGACCGAGGGATCTACGATCCAGTTTCTAAACGCCCCTCCCGGCCACACGGCCAACTGTTTACAAAATAGAGATAAGACTGCCTTTGAATCCGAAGGCCTGTGCACTGCTTTGGCTAGATTTATTCCAAGGACAGATCTAAGCCCGGTGAAAGACTGTTGCCTAGGGAATGCCAATCGTCCAGGTCGATCAGGGCCCACTTGGCCTGCAGCTGTATAGATATCCCAATCGGGATAAGAGTACGAGTGCAAGTCTCTCCAAAAATACAACGCACTGCAACATCAGGCTTGTTTGGGGTGGCTGGTTTATACGGTTGAAGATAGGCAGCAGATTTCAGACCTTCAAATATAATGCGTTAAGACCTATCTTAAGTCCCATACCTATTTGCATTGACACTATCCACTCTCCAAATCTACCATACCATATCATCCATCAGCAGACCCTCGCACCATCGCTCGCATCCACACATTCTTCAACTACATTATTCCCAAAATGCTTCAAAAACTGAATATCCCCGTCGAGAACATCCCCCGCACAAAGTTCAAGCTGCATATTATCATCGGCGTCCTAGTCCTAATAACGTTCATCCTTGCCATCGCGCGCATTGCCGTCCCCGGAACGCCGCGATCCCGAACAAACACATGGGGCATCGCAGTCGTACGGAACCACCTCACTATCCCCCTCATTCTTATATACCTAGGTGCTAACAGAAATATTGATGTGGCAGTGCCTCAAATCCGCCGTCTTCATGGCATACCAACTCCTAACAACGCACGCCAGCCGCCTGAACCGCTGGGGAAATACAAAGGTCTACATCACACTGAATATCATCGACATGGTCTTCTGGTTTGCGCTCGTGATCATCTCTATTATGGGTGCTATGGGCTCGAAGAGTGCGTCTAGTCGGGCGCTCGGCGCGATTGTTGTTTTCCTGGCTATTGTGCTCGTTCCCCTGTCTGCGTTCCTGTCGTGGGTTTGTGTGAGTGAGAGGAGGGAGGAGAAGAAGGGTGGGGTGGCTGGGAAGGGCTCGTATTCTGGGGTCTAGGGTCTAGGTGGGAAGTAGGGCTCGAGGTATGCGGGTGCGAAGACGCTGATATGTGTACCTTGTGAATCCGGGCGTATTGTTTTCGGTTGTGTCGTATGGAGTATGTCTTTGAGTACTTTGAACCAAATCTACCATAGGAGACAACAGCTCCGCGTGTGATCTGTCCATCATAGGTTGTCAATCATGGCTGGAGCACCACTAGGTCCCTAAGAATTCGCCCAGTATAGGTCTAACATTGAAAGATTCCAATGGTCTACCGAAAGTACTATTCTCACCTTCTGCTTCAGTGGTCCAACGGTAGGATCTTCGCCTTCCAAGCGAATGGCCCGGGTTCGACTCCCGGCTGATGCATTTCTTACAAGTTTCCATGCCTAGGCTAGTGGAAGCATTTCTTTTTGCTGGGTGGCCGAGTGCGGTCAAGGGCTTTGAACTACAAGGCTGTTGGTTTATTGCGCGTGGCCGGAACAAAGTGGAGGCCCGCGCACAATAAATTGTAGGTCCCGGCTCCTAGTCACGTGAGCTTTATTAAGGATTATATAAAATAATAAAATAATATTAATTAGCTAAAAAAATAAAGTTAATTAGCTAAAAAAGGGTAATTATATAATCTTTTTACTACTTTAACTTTATAATATAATTTTTTTAATAATATAATGACTTAAACCTTAAGTTTATATTTTTTTTACTTATAATTTATATAAATAAACTTAATTATAAAATTATTTATATTTTATAGCTAGTATAAAAATATATTATTTATATTTTAATTTTAATAGTACCTGGGCTACAAGCCTTATAATATTTATAATAATTATAAAATTAAGGTATATTTATATTACCTTGCATGTATATTATAGTTATTAATATATAATAAAAAAAGTAAATAATTTATTATAACTATAGGCTTTTTTAACCTACCCCTTTAATATTTTTTTTAATAAAATTAACTTAAATATATAATAAACATGCCTGTTATAGCTAAAGCTAGATTACTAATATTATAGTATATATTTATTTAATAATTTATAATAAGTAAAAAAATATTATAAAAATATTAAATAATAATATATTTAGTAAGTAATAAGTTAAATAGCTTATATAATTACTTTTTATAAATTTTAACCTTTTTATTTACCTTAAACATACTTATTATTATTAATAATATTTACTATTTTTATACCCCCTTTCACGCCTGTAATAACTATATTTTTATTATTATTTATACCTTACTTACTAGCTAGGCGCCCGCAGCTAGTTATTATTATTAATAAAAATAATATTAAATTAAATATTAATAGCTTTATAGCTATAAGCTCCTAGTTTATTATTAATAATAAATTATTTTTACCTTTATAGATTATTGAAGTTAACTTTAGTTTTTTTATACATGTAAACTTAAACTATGCTTTTTATTAAATTTTTTTTAATTAATCTTATATACCTAGCTATTATAAATTATAATTAAAAATTATTAAATAACTTTTACTAGTAGCTTAATACATACTAGCTAAAGATATATAGTTATTATTAAATATAATAATTTAATATAAACCTTTAAAAAAATAATATTTACAAGCGTTATATACTAGCTAACTAAAATTAAAAAATTTTTAAATTTAGTTTATAAAATAAAATAAATCCTAGTAATATTTTTTCTTATCTTTTAAAATTATATAAATTAAAAAATATTAATAACAAAAGTTTATATATTTATTAAGGTTTATTATATTTAAGGTTACTAGTATTTATATAAAAGCTATATTATTAACTTTTCATAAAATACTAGTTAAATATATAAATAGCTCCTGCTTTTACTTAAAAAGCTTAAGATATTAATTTTATAGCTATTTAATTTTAATATAAACTAAAAAATATACTTATAGTTTTATTATAACTTTAAAGTATAATACTAAGTAATTAAATAATAAATAAATTACCTTTAAGTAAATTATTTAGGGTATTAAAATATAATTAAAAATAATTATAATTTTATATAGCTATTAAAAAATAAACTAGTTAATTATTTTATTTTAACTTAGGAGTTAGCTAGTAAGCTAATTACCTTAAATAATAATTAATAAGTAAACCTTAATAATATATAGGTGCCTAATATAGTTATAGTACGTAATTTATTTATAATAATTACGGAGCTTAAGGCTTTATAAGCTATAATAAATAATATTATTAAGCTAGTATATAATAACCCTTATTTAACTTTTTATTTTATTTTATATAACGCTGTTATTTAAGTTTAATTACTTATAATAACTACTATTCTTAGTATTTTTTACCCTTTTTTTTTAATAAAATAAAGCTAGTTATAACATACCCGCGCGAGGTATTATTTATAAATTATATTAAATACTTATTTAAATATAAAAGTAGCTATTTTACACGGTATTTCTGGTTTTAATATATTTATTTTAATATAATTTATTATTAGCAAACTAATTAATAAACTAGTTTTTATATTTATAACCACGCGCCTGGCTAGCAAGATATTTTTATAAAAAAGTTATAAGCAGCTTTTTAATTAAATATAATTAAATTATTTATATTACTAAATTTTATTATTAATTTTTTTAAAATTATTCGTGGTACGTGGCTATTTTAATATAATAAAAAAATAGCTTAAAAGCCATAATTAAAAATATTAATAAGTAGCTTATTTCCTATTACCATACATGTTATTTTAATTATTTATTTTTAAAATAAGCATGGCTTACCTATTTTTAAGATTTTTTATAGCTAATTTATACTAAAATAACTTAATATAATAGTTACTTAAGTATAAAGCATGGCGTAATAATATAAAAATTATTTATAAATAAATTATATAATATAATTTATAAAATAATCCTTATATTATTATAGCATGGTTTTATTATTATTACCTATATATTTCTTAATATAGTTATTAAGCTTAAGTTTAATATTATAAATAATTAATTTTATTATAAATAGTAAGGTTAAGGTTTAACTTATAATTATAATATATATTAAATATAATTTACCCCTATTTTTAATAGCCTTTGATAATTTAATAAGTTATAATAATTATTTAAGGCTTATTAAGGCATGTATATTATAGCTATAAACTTTTTTTATAAGTAAATTATTATTATTAATATAAATTATAAGGCTATTTAGCTACGCTAGTTTTAATAAAAAAATATACTTGCTTATCTTACATAGGTTATAGGTTATAAATTATAAATTATATTATTATTATAAAATAAATTACTATTAATAAAAAAAACAAGTAATTTAAGCAAGTTATTTATTACTTTTATTTTTTTATAAAAACACGGCGTGATTTTTGATTAATAAAACTAACTAGTAATATATACTACTATTTTTTTCCGGCCTATAATAATATAACCTTAAATACATTTAATTTAAGTATTAGCTTAAAATAGCTTATAAACTTAAATATAGCCGTGTGTACTAGTAAGCACTTCCTACTTTATTATATTACTAAGTATATTATAAAGCCTAAAAAATAAAGTTATATAAAAAGGTTATAAAATTAATTTTTAAGCATGTTAATATATACTATTTTTTATTATTACTAGTATAAAAATAATAAATACCCTAATTATAAAGCAAGATTAATTTATATAAAAGGTTTATTATTATATACTAGGCCTATTACTTTAAATATTAAGTTATAATATAATTATTATTTTATATTTAATAAATTAAAAATAAAATAACCTATTTTTACTACTAAATGCAGACTGCAATAATACTAGTAATAAAAAAAAATATTAAATAGGGTTTAAATATAATAGTAAAGTATATATAATAGCTACTAAAGCTTATTAATTTAAAATTATTATACCCTATAGCCTAGAGTATATAAAAAGG